GGGGGGAGAGAGAGGGAGGGAAGAAAAAGAGGGGAGGGGAAGAGGGGGAGGGGAAAGGTGGGGAAAGAGGGAGGGAGAGGAGGAAGAGGGGAGGGAAGGGGGAGAGGAGGGGGAGGGAAGAAGAAGGGGGAAGGAGGGGAGGGAGAAGAAGGGGAAGAGGAGGGGAAGAAGACAGGAGGGGAGAGGGGGAAGAGGGGAGAAAAGGGGAAAGGGAAGAAGGGGAGAGAGGAGGGGAAGGGGAGGGAGGAAGAAGGGGGAGGGGAAGGGGGAAGAGGGGGTGGGGAAGGGAAGGGGAAGAAGAGGGGAGTGAGGAAGAAGGGGGAAATAAAGGGGAAGGAGAGGAGGGAAGGAAAAGGGGGAAGGGAACAGGAAGAAGAGGGGAGGGGAAAGAGGGGAGAGAAAGGGAAGTAGGGGGGAGAGAGGAGGGGAAGGGGAGGGAGGAAGAGAAGGAGGAGAGGGAGGGAAGAAGAAGAGGGGAAGGGGAAGAGGGGGGGGGGGGGGGGGGGGGGGGGGGGGGGGGGGGGGGGGGGGGGGGGGGGGGGGGGGGGGGGGGGGGGGGAGGGGGGGGGGGAAGGAGAGGAGGGGAGGGAAGAAGAAGAAGGGGGAAGGGAATGGGAAGAAGAGGGGAGGGGAGAGGAGGGAAAGGGAAGAGAGAGAAGAAGGGGAGGAGAGGGGAATTGGCAGAGGAGAAGGGAAAGGAGAAGGGGAGGGAGGAAGATGAAGAAAAGGGGGAGAGGAAAGGGAGGAAGGGGAGAGGGAGGAGGGAGGGGAGGGGAGGGGAGGGGAGAGAGGATAAGAAAGTAGAGGGAGGAAGTTCCACGCCAAAGACCAGCGAGGGAGCAGCAGGAGAGTGAAATCACTGTGTGTGTGTGTGTGTGTGTGCACGCTCACACCAATCCTGGGCTTGAACTCAGGGCCTGGGCGCTTTGTCCCTGACCTTTTTCACTCCTGGCTGGTGCTCTACCACTGGAGCCTCACTTCCATTCCTGCTTTCTCTGGTGGTTCCTCGGAGAGCAGAGTCTCCCTGGAAACCAACCCCCTTACATCTCAGCCTCCACAGTAACAGCTGGGATTACAGGCGTGAGGCACAGTGCCCGGCTGGCAGCCTGCAGGTCCTGGGCCTTCAGCCCCTGTTCCACTGGTCCATCTCGTCCTCTGTGACACACGCACGCACGCACGCACGCGAGCCTCTGAGACGATGCCACCGACACAACCCAAACACCCTGCGATTGCTATGGCAACACTTGAGATTTTAATACATTTCGCTAAGGATGATAGAGGGGGCGCGTGTTGGGGGGCTTCGTGGGGTGTGGGGAGCTCTACCGCCCAGACCCACTGTGCATCTCCAGTGTCCAAGCCTGGAGCCAGCTGCCATAGGTTTGGGGGGGGACAGATCCCCTTTCTCCCATTCCACCAGGTCCACTTGGGCCTACAGGGTCAGCTGGGAAAAGATGGGGTTCCCCGGGCTCCAGGGCCTCCCCCAAGCCCTGCTTCTTCCCTCGCTCCCAGTCAGGGAGCAGCGTCTCGCGATACTTGGCCCCAGAGGAAGTCCAAGGCCTCTGTCATCTGGAGACCCCAGGGAGGCCCTTCGGGGGGCGAGGCCCAGCGGCCGAGGCCGGCGTGGAGAGGGCCGTGGAGAGGCTGCGGGAGAAGGCAGAGGTGTCTCATCGATGAACGTGGTGATCTCTTCCCGGAAGAAGCCAGCACCCCGTGGGGGTCCCCCACCGGACCCCAGAACCCCGCTCTCTAGAAACTGCCGGAGGCTAGCCAGCCCTCCGCCCTCAGCGTCCTCTTCATCCTCCTCGTCCTCCAGCCTGGCCCTCAGGTAATCGGGGGGACCCCCAAGGGCCCGGATGTCATCCGAGGACGACCATTTGTGCAGGAAGGATCCGGGCATGCGCGGGCTGGCGGTGTTGATCTCATCGTGGGAAAGCCGGCGGGACAGGGGGACCTGAGGAGAGGAACAGGCCACAGACATTTGGGGTGCTGCCAAGACAACGGTAGAGGAGGAAGGACCCCATCTGGGGGCCTTTTAAGATGGTGCCATGCTTTTTCATGTGTGTGCTGGTGCTGGGACTCGAACTCAGGACCTGGGCGCTGTCCCTGAGCTTTTGTGCTCCAAGGCTGGCGCTCTACCACTTGAGCCACGGCTCTGCTTGTGACTTTTTTTTTTGGTGGCTCGGTGGACATAAGAGTCTCATAGACTTTCCTTCCTTAGGCTGGTTCTGAACCCAGATCCTCAGCTCCCTGAGTAGCTAGGATTGGAGGTACAAACCACCAGTGCCATGTTTTGGTTTGCGGGTACTGGGGCTTTTACTCGGGGCCAGGGTGTTGTCGCTTAGTTTTTTGCTGGTTCATTGGAGATGAGAGTCTCATGCACTTTCCTGCCTATGCTGGGCTTTAGAACCTCGATCCTCAGATCTCAGCCTCCTGAGCAGCTGGGATTACAGGCGGGAGCCACCCTACTCCTCCAACATCTCCAAAATATTTACTTCGCCCGCCTCTTGGCGAGCTCAGCAGGCTAAGGCTTGGGGTCTCAGGGATGGGAGGAGGGGGAGAGGTTAAGATGGAGGAGGAGGAGCAAGGTCTGGGTTGGGTCTCCTCAGCCCCTACCTGTAAGTAGTGTACTCTCTCAAGCGGAGGGAAGAGCATATGTCGTCCGGGCAACAGCTTCACCTGAGCGGGGTCCCCGTTGCCCGGTCCCGTGGCTCCATTGGCATCGAAGCGGACTTTGCACACGCGGCTCTCCGAGTACTCATCACAGCCCTCGTCTGTGAGAGAAAAGGGGGTACAGGGGTCACAGGCGGAGCACACCATCCCTTCTTTGCCCTGTTCACAAACCCCTCCATGTCCATCATTCTGCCCAAGGGTGGTGCCGATGTGTTAACTTTGATACTACTTATAGAAGTAATGATCTGCAGGGCGCCAGTGGCTCCCGCCTGTCATCCTATCTACTCAGGAGGCTGAGATCTGAGGATTGTGATTCGAAGCCAGCCTCGGCAGGCAAGTTCGTGAGTATTTCTTTCTTTCTTTTTTGGTCAGTTGTGGGGCTTGAACTCTGGGCCTGGGCACTGTCCCTGAGCTCTTCAGTTCAAGGCGAGCTCTCTACCACTTGAGCCACAGCGCCACGTCCAGTTTTCTGGTGGTTCATGGGAGATCAGAGTCTCACGGACTTTCCTGCCTGGGCTGGCTTTGAACCACGATCCTCCGATCTCAGCCTCCTGAGGAGCTGGGATGGCAGACGTGATGATATGTATCATTAAGTGAGGGTGGAGCGGGGACAGCTTCTCTGGTTCTCTGGGTGATATGGGCTCAGAGGCCGCTTCAAGGGGCCCACAATACAAAAGCGAGGACCACAGTGTTCTCATGAGGCCGAGGCCACGCCGGTTCCGTCCACCAGAGGGCGCTGTGGGGCAGGGAGGAGGGCCCGGAACGCAAAGGCGCCGCTGACCCTCATCGCCGTCCTCCTCCGACATGATGGCCACGCACTGCTCCCACACCGTGCGGACGTCGGCCCGGTAGCGCTCGCAGGACCAGATGAAGGAGGGCAGCAGCAGCGTCTGTGCCATAGAACACCACAGCACGGCCAGGACCATCCAGGGCGGGGCCGAGTCCGACTTCAGGGAGAAGAAGCTCACCACCTGGGGCAGGGGGAGAGGACGTGGGACAGCGGCAGGTCACACACTGTTCAACCAGGCCTCGTGGCTCCCGCCTTGAATCCCAGCTACGCAGGAGGCTGAGATCTGAGGATCGAGGTTCAAAGCCAGCCCAGGCAGGAAAGTCTGTGAGACCCTTTATCTCTCCAACTAACTAGCACAGAGCCAGGAGTGGAGCTGTGGCCAGAGTGGTAGAGCACCAGCCCTGAGTGGAAGAGCTTAGAGGGAGAGCATTCAGGTTCTGAGTTCAAGCCCCAGTACCAACACACACACACACACACACACACACAGTTTTATTCTTTTGCCAGTCCTGGGGCTTGAACTCAGGGCCTGGGTGCTGTCCCTGAGCTTCTTTGGCTCAAGCCTAAGGCTCTACCACTTGAGCCACAGCACCACTTCTGGCTTTTTCTGTGTATGTGGGACTGAGGAATCGAACCCAGGGCTTCATGCATGCGAGGCAAGCACTCTACCCCTGAGCCACCTGCCCAGCCCCACACACAATTATGTTAAATGGGCAGATGAATTGAAGGATAGGATGATGAAGTTGAATAGTGGGAACTAGAAGTAGACAGAACAAAGGTGAAACAGGGAGGCTGGGCAGGTGGCTCAGGGGTAGAGCGCTCGCCTCGCATGCATGAAGCCCTGGGTTCGATTCCTCAGTACCACAGACACAGAAGAAGCCAGAAGTGGTGCTGTAGCTCAAGTGGTAGAGCACCAGCCTTGAGCCACAGAAGTTCAGGGACAGCGCCAGGGCCCTGAGTTCAAGCCCCAGGACTGGCCTTCCTCCCCTCCAAAATCAACTGGAGCTGGGCGCTGGTGGCTCCCGCCTGTCATCCTAGCTACTCAGGAGGCTGAGATCTGAGGATCACGGTTCAAAGCCAGCCCGGGCAGTTAAGTCCGTGAGACTCTGATCTCCAAGGAACCACCAGAAAACCAGAAGTGGCGCTGTGGCTCAAGTGGTAGAGCGCCCGCCTTGAGCTGAAGAGCTGAGGGACAGCGCCCAGGCCCTGAGTTCAAGCCCCATGACCGACCAAAAATAAAAAAAATGGGGGGAGAGATGGAGGAGGGGAGGATGGAACCCCGCACTGGAGGCGGAATCACGGGACCACGCTGCGTGGCTGATGGCGCCTGGAGGTCAGAGGGATAGCGGGGAGACCCCCCTCTCCCCGAAATCTCACCAAGATCGGCACCCCGGTGAGGGAGTCGTAGAGAAAGACGATGGCGCTGACCAAGTTGGTGACCTGCAGCGACGTCTTGGCCGACTCGGACCCGTCCAGCGAGGACCGCCGCTTCCCACGCGTGTCCTCCACCACGATGGCGGGCACCTCAAAAGCCGCGCGGGTCCCCAAACTCCCCAGGCCTCCGGGCTTGGATCCTCCGTTCGCCCGGCCTCCGCGGGCCAGCCGGGCTGTCCGCGGCCGGGCCCAGAGCGTCTGGTAGAAGGTGATGGCCACGCACACCAAGCCCATGACGATACCCCCCAAAAGCAGGAGACTGAAGCACACCCCGAAACCCAGGCCGATCTTGGAGACGATGAACTGGCAGCCGCGGGCGTAGTAGCGTTCGCCATTGTTGTGCCAGCCGATGGAGGGCAGCGTGGACAGGATGAAGCTCACCATCCAGATGCCCATGACGGCGTGCAGCGCCTGCTTCTTGGCGTTGCTCAGGCGGTAGTTCACCGGCCAGCGCACCATCCACATGCGGTGGTACGACAGCGACGCCACCGTGAAGCACGTGGCCAGCGCCAGCGTGTAGTAGGTGGACACGAACACCTTGCAGATGCTCTCGTTCCAGTCGTAATCGGACGACGCCTGGCGCCGCAGCTGCACCACAGCGAAGGTGGTGAGCGGCACGGCCGCCATGAGGATGTGGGTCCCCGCCAGGAAGCACAGGAGCAGCTCGAGCGGTTTGTGCTTCTGCTGCTTGGCCGAGATGCTGAGGATGATCCAGGCATTGGCCAGCAAGGCCAGGAGGCCGCAGGCCAGCCAGGACAGGGCGTTGGAGCGCAGGGAGGCCTCTTCTGCCCCTGTCCCGCCCCGAGCCATCCTAGCCGCACCCCCACCCCCCCCTGCTGCCGCGCTTGGGGTGGGGGTGGGGGCTAGGTCTCACCCCGGAGCCCCACTCACGCTCCCCGCCATGATGGCCCCCCACCCCGCACGCGCGATCGGGGTCCGGGATTCAAGGAGGTTGCTTCACAGCTCACCCCGCTGCTTCACAGGACATGGCTTGGCCCCCTTCCCCCGGGTGGGGCAGGAAGGGCGAGGCTGGGAAATCAGTCAGAGGCCGGCCTCAGCCTCCACCTTGGGCCTGGCTTGAGTGTCTCTGTGGAGTCGCTGGGGAGAGGCGAGCTGGCTGCTTCCTCCAGGATGAGACCCTGGTGGAAAGTTCTAGAACCCAGGCCGGGGCTCTGCAGGTCTTTTGAGCCCTCGGCTTTGGCAAACCAGGCAGGGAATCTTCTCGAATCTGACACCCTGCCCACCGAACAAAGAAAGGCAGCTTTGCTAGGTTGGACCCCTCTTGCTTCAGCTGCAGAAAGAGGCAGAGAGCAAAGGTCAGGCCTGGATTCTTTTGTTTGTTTTTAGCCAGTCCCGGGGCTTGAACTCAGGGCCTGGGCACTGTCCCTGAGCTGCTTTGGCTCAAGGCTGGCGCTCTACCCCTTAAGCCACAGCACCACTTCTGGCTTTTTCTGTGTTTGTGGAATCGAGGAATCGAACCCGGGGCTTCATGCACGCGAGGCGAGCGCTCCACCACTGAGCCACCGTCCTGAGTCTAGACTATGCTTTAAGCACACCCTGGCGGCTCCCGCCTGTCACCCCAGCTACTCAGGAGGCTGAGATCTGAGGATCGCGGTTCAAAGCTAGCCCGGGCAGCAAAGTCTGTGAGACTCTGATCTCCAATATATAATCACAAAGCTGGAAGGGGAGCCGCGGCTCAAGTGGGAAAGTACAACTAGCCTTGAGCAAAAAATAAGCTAAGGGATACAAGCCAGGCTCTAGGTTCAAGCCCCAGGACTGGCAAAAACAACCCAAAAAAGTCTCATGGATGTTCCTGCCTGGGCTGGCCTTGAACCGTGATCCTCAGATCTCAGCCTCCTGAGTAGCTGGGATGACAGGCGGGAGCCACCAGCGCCCGGCTATGAACTTTTGTGCAGATCCTAGGGATTGAATTGACAGTCCAGGCTCTGTCCCTTAGCTTATTTGTTCAAGGTTGGCTGGTGCTTTACCATTTAGGTCATACCTTCACTTCTAGCTTTTTGATGGTTCATTGAAGACAAGAGTCTCACAGACTTTCCTGCCCAGGCTGGCTTGAATGACCCCCCTCGAACCCCTAACAGTGAGCTAATTCCAAAGTTTCCAGAAAGAATAAAAAAGGAGGTTAAAGCAGTCTAGACCTGGGAATGTGGTTTAGTGGTACAGTGCTTGCCTAGCATGCATGAGGCCCTGGGTTCGATTCCCCGGACCACATAAACAAAACAAAGACAATAACAACAAAAAAGAATCTAGGCCTAGCCAGTGCTGGAGGTTCCCCGCCTGGCATCCCAGCTACTCAGGAGGCTGAGATCTGAGGATCACAGTTCAAAGCCAGCCTGGGCAGGAAAGTCATGAGGTTTTCATCTCCAATGATCCAGCAGAAAAGCAACAATGGGCGCTGTGGCTCAAAGTGGGAAAGCACCCGCCTTGAGCAAAAACAACAACAACTTGGGGTTAGCACCCAGGCCTTGAGTTCAAGCCTCAGGACTGACCAAAAAAAGCCTGAAGGGGAGGTGTGACTGGAGCGGTAAAGCACCAACCTTGAGAGGAAAAAAAAAAGCCAGAAGTGAGTGCCAGGCCCTGAGTTCAAGTCCCAACACCAACACACACACACACACACAGCTACCAATGGGGACACACACCTCGATTCATTCTTGTGGGTGCCCTGTAAACAGCCTCTCCTGCCTGTGGATCCCCTGGGCAGAGCTGGTACCGAGCCCTCTCCCTCCCTCCCTCCTGGGCAGCCTCCGGGACTGAGCGCAGGGAGATGGGGACTGCAGGGGGGAGGGGGCGGGCTGAAGGCGGAGGGGAACCACTGACATCAGACACAGCCAGAAATGGAACGAGGGGGGACCAGCGCGCAGGAGGCATGTTGCAGCCGGGGGAGGGGGGAAGAGAGAAAAAAGAGAGGGGGGTAACGCTGATAGTAGCTGAAAATAGACAGAGACACAGGGGAGGCTCCGGAGTGGAGGCCGGGCGGGAGAGGCTGGGGGACCGAGAGATGATAAACAAAAATCACCCCCCAAAAGCAAACCCACAAAACCCCAGTGTCCGATAGGGCGCCTCCCCCTCCCGTGCGGGAACCCCTGATTCTCCTGGCCTGCAGCCTCAGTTTCCTTTCAACGCAGACCAGGCTTGCGGAGGGGGAGCGGGGGGGGGGCCCCCCTGCGGGGGGCTGCGGGGTGAAGAGGACACAGGCATTATGGCTTTGGAGCAAATGTGGGGCGGGAGAAATAATTGGGGCACCCCAATGGCTGTGAGCTGTTCTCTCAGCCCCTTTGGCTTCCCACCCAACCCCCTCTCCCCCCAAAAAAAGGTCCTGTCCACCCCCACCCCACGCCCATCATGGTCCTCCTGGGGCTCCTCCACCCCGGTTACCATAGCAACGGCCAGCCGGAGGGAGATGGAGAAACTGGTCCAGAAAGCCCCCCCCAAGCTGCCCTCCCTTGAAGCCTGGGACCCACCTGATCGCCAAGCCCAGCTCAGGGGGGGTACCCCCAAATAGAGATGGGAAAGGAGAGAGAGACAGACAGAGAGAGAGAGAGGAGGAGGAGGAGAAGGACGAAGGGGAGAAGGAGCTGAAGGACAGACCGTAGCAGGAAGGGAGGGAGGGATCTGGGGGTGCTCGCTGCCTGGATGGCTGGGGTCCCCCCTCTTCCCCGCCACACACCCTGTCCTTGGCGGAGAGGTGAAGGGCTAAGGTCACAGGCGCCTCCCTCCCTCCCTCGGCTTCATAGCAGGTGTCTGGGACCTGGGGCGGCCCGCGGGGGAGGAGGCGGAGTGGGGGGGCTGTGGGGGGGCCGTGATGGGTGGGGGGGCCGGGCAGGGGTCCCTCTTACCTCGGGCTGCGCCCAGCAGTGCTGGGCAGACGCGCTCCGTCCCAACCCGATTCCTGCCGGCTCCGCTCGCCTGCCCTCCTCCCTCCTTCCCTCCCTCCCTCCTCCTCCCTCCTCCCTCCCTCCCCCTCCACGTCCTCCCGGCCTCTGCGTCCAGACCTCCCTCCTTCCCCCCCCTCCCCCGCCCCTCCAGCACCCCCAGCATCAAGGGCAATGGGGGGGCCTGCGATCCTGGATTAGGGAACCCCAGGACAGGTTTTGGGGGGTGGGGGTGACGGAGGGAAGGGGGGCTTGGGGGAGGGGGAGAGGCTCGGCCCCCACCCCATCCCCGGCTTTTTTTTTGGCAATAGGAACATGAGAGAGGCAACTGGTGGTGGGAGCTATTTGCGGGGTGAAGTGAGTCCCCCACCCCGTGTTCAGCACCCCGTGTCCCCCCCCAGGGGGTGGGCGATGCCTGGGCCCGGCTCCTACGGTTTGTGGGTCCCGCTGGGGGTGCTTTGTAGAGTTGGGGGGGACAGAGACCTCAAAGGATGTGGGCACACACATCAGTGCAACGTGCACACCCGGCCTCTTCCGCAGACACACATAGCCCTGCACACACAGTGTTCGTGTGTGTGTGTGTGTGTGTGTGTGTGAGCCAGTCCCAGGGCTTGAACTCAGGACCCAGGCGCTGTCCCTGAGCCGGCTTTCCACATTGGATCTCTTCCACTTGAACCATTTGAGCTCACTTTCTTTTTTTTTGGTTTTAGTGTTAGTTTTTGCTGGTTAATTAGGAGCTAAAGAGTCTCTTGGGCCGGGCGCCAGCGGCTCCCGCCTGTCATCCCGGCTACTCAGGAGGCTGAGATCTGAGGATCACAGTTCAAAGCCAGCCTGGCAGGAAAGTCCGTGAGACTCTGATCTCCCATGAACCACCAGAAAACCAGAAGTGGCGCTGTGGCTCAAGTGGTAGAGCGCCAGCCTTGAGCTGAAGCACTCAGGGATAGCGCCCAGACCCCAAGTTCAAGCCCCACAACCAACAAACAACAACAACATGTCCAGGCTGGCCTTGAACTGTGATCCTCATATTTCAGGCTCAAGTGGTAAGACAACTGGCCCAATTTAGGATCTCTCTCTCTCTCTCTCTCTCTCTCTCTCTCCCCCCCCCTTCTCTACTTCTTTTGTTCCACACTTGGACTCAAACTCAGTACCAACACTTTTGTTCATTTTCTGGTGCTCTACCCACTGAGTCATGACGCCAACCTCCCTTCTTGATAGTAAGTTTATTCCATTTCTTCTTTTTTTATTTTGTGAGCTTGGGGAAAGCAAAAGTGGGGAGTGGACACAAATACCAAGTATGCAGTGAAGGAGCCCAATACTGCCCAGCAAAGCTCAACCTTCCAGAAGGTTCTGCACAAGGTGCATGGCTTCTGGGTGGACATTCTCTCCTGGTAGGGAGGACACCTCTTGTAATCGCACACTGACTGACAGCAGCCCCGGAGGAAAAAGAGGAGGACCTCCAGAACATTCTCAGAGGTTCCAGAACATTCTCAGAGGTTCCAGAACATTCTCAGACAGGCCCTATCTGTGGAAGGGGGATTCCTGGGGGCTCAAAGGTGTGTACTGGGGTTCTGTAGAGGGCTGGGAACCTCCGCCAGTCCTGACCCGAGCTGGAGGAATTTTCTAGGTTGAGTCCCCTTTCTGTCCTGGTTCTTTTGATGCTAGACTTTTATTTTTTTCTTTTTCTCCTTCCTGCCTTCTTCCCCTGCTTGTGTGTGTGTGTGTGTGTGTGTGTGTGTGTGTGTGTGTGTGTGTGTG